GAATACGTTAAAAGGGGAAATGTTTTTGCTGATTTTTCCATCATACTTGATGCTAATATGATACCATGTGTTTTCCATCCTAGTAATTTAGACATTTTTTTACTATCAAACATTTCATTTGGGCTGGGAAAACTATTTCCCTAATTGCTGTCAACACCGTAGATTACGTAGATTTCTTATTTTTCATGTTGAATGCTATTCTCTCTCTCTTTCTCTCTCTCTCTCTCTCTCTCTCTCTCTTCCTCTCTCTTTCTCTCTCTCTCTTCTCTCGCTCTTTCTCTCTGTCACTTTATACAAATCCTAAACATTAATCTTCCAGGAACTTTCTAAACCTGTTAAGATCAGTTTTAAGAATGCTTACTTCACCTTTGTCTTGCTGTAAGATGTAGAACAAGTCGTCACAAACATTTGTTTTAAATTGTGCGGCATTTTTATTCTGTTGTCTGTGTCCTACTTGTAGTAGGATTATGATTAATACGATCGATTGCTTCAAACTATTTTGACTTTGAATAGATGAGAAAATTGTTTAACAAAATTGATGGAATTAGAAAGTAGTTTGATCAAAGGAACATTGTAATGTCTGGATTAAGCGGATGAACATGATATTACAATACATTGATTTACTTTTGTTTGAAGATTTTCCTAAGTATTTTTGACAATTTTTCTATGTGTCCTTGGTAGCAAATACATGAAGCTACTACCAAACCTCATCGGATATCACACAAGTGCTTAGCAAAAATTGTCATCGTCATGGCAACCGATCCATTGTAGGCTCCCGTCAACAGACCAATTCTCTCGAAGAATACCGATAATGAAAATTTATTGAGAAGATTAATAGAAAAATTACGGGGTCTTTTGAAGTTGCCGCACAATATTTCGCTCTCTTTGCCATGCTAATCGTTCATTCCTGTAATGTCGAAACTATTACGGGATCACTTGCTGTACCCCATAGATCATACGTTCTGCAGTTTACCCAGGGTTCCTTGCATCGATAAACAAGAAAACCTGATGCCCCAAAAGTCTGGGATCCAATAAACTCGACCTAATTCTGTGCGGCGATACACAATTTTTGAGGGATGCAAGAGAGAGAGAAGGGGGGGGGGGCGTTGTTTGCCATTGTGCAATGCAGTAAGAGAAATTATGCCACATTGCCAATCAAGCTATGCATTGATGAAATGATGATTAATGGACAAATGACGGCCCTCTTGTCTGAACAAATTTCCCCCTTCATTGCAGATCTACAACGGCCTAATTCCCCCATGATTGCCGGGGTAAGATATATAAGTGTTGTGCAACGTAATGGTGCATGAAAGGACATCGAAAGCGTATCATTGCAAGTTATTACTTTAATCCAGTCAGAGAAGATATTAAGCCGTGAATATCGCATGAATTGCCCTCATTCATCATCCCAAATTAGCTCATGAATATTGGTGGCATTTATATCTGGCTCTTTTGCATTTTAGATGGAATGTAAAGGAAATGCAGTTGGATTTGATTTAGATCAAGTTAGTATTTGCTAATGAATAGTTAACCAGCTCTTCCTGGTTTGGGTTTTTACAAAAGATTGAATGTCAAGATGGGTTGAGGTCTATTTTAATCACCATAAATACTAATGTCTACCTTTCCAACTCTTTCTCTCTATTCTGATCAGTGCTCTTTCAGATAAATTAATCCTTGCCATGGTCAGAAACATGTACAAAACTAATATTTCTAGGTTGTTATCTTGATAAAAATACTGGGCTACAGCATTTAACTCCTCAAAATTACTAAACCAAGTTTTATTCCCAAGAAGATAACAATATTCTGTTTAGTCCCAAGGTATTAGAAACAATATATCAGAATAAAATCTGCCTGCAGCACTGTCAGGGCTAGTAGCATATTTTTGTGAAATATTTTTGATTCATCATGTTCATACTGCAACTTGTTGTGGATAAGATTTATCAGTGGAAATTGTGGAAGAGAAAGCAAGAGAATAAAGGTAGCGTGCATTATTTGCCAGTGTGAATGTTCCACATGAGGTTGCGTACATCCTTTTACCCTAATTACGCTTGATTGACAAGTTACCAATACACTAGAAAACGAACAGGAAATGCATATATCCTAGAATTGTCACAAATCATTCTTAGACTTTGTGTGTAGTTGCTTTCCAAACAAACATGCTCATGCCCTAGTCTGAGTTATGAAATATAAATGAGCACATCTGAACAGACAACTGCAATGGCTCTAAAATTCACATCCAACACGGCTCAGTTTTTGTGCCAGTGCTCCTGGGAATATGATGTAATGAAATATTTAGTAATTGCATGTATATCGTGGAAAGAGTTTTCATTTTTCATGCTAGCTCTTTTTGTAAATGGTAATATATGGTAATATATAATATAATGATATATATGCAATATTAAGTTATTACATCCTGAACAACTAGTTTATAGTCTATGTAGTACATGCATCATTCATACATTTTGGAAAGGGTTTTCAATGTTTTTATGCCCGTTTGTGTAATATAATAATAGTTAATATATTGAGTAAATACATGTAGATTTTGAAACAACTAGTTAAATAACATCCATCAATTACTCTGGAAAGTTTACATTGTTTCTTTATCTTTGTAACATTCTCCTGTATTTAATGTAGCAGTTAGGTGATATGTTTCTACATTTTAGTTTTTGCACAAAAATATGATGATTTTAGATCTATTGGAAATATCTTCCAAAATATTCAATAAAGGGAATTATATCTCAAATAAAAGTTAACAAGACTTGATGGAAAAATGCCCTTAGTTATACCATACAAAAGTGCTTTCATAGGTAGCTATTTGTTTTTTTTTGGCAAATTTATATTCTACTTTCTACCTTAACAGACCTTCTGTTGTGTAAGCCTCCTGTTAAGTGAGTATTCTATCAAGTGGGAAATCCCCTAAAGAAATTGAGCTTGAGAGAGGAAGGAGGAGAGAAAAGATGAGTCGAATCACATGTCTGTAAGATGCACATAACAACTAAATTATTCATCCCCCTTGTAAATTTGATGCATTATGTGTTTTTCATAACTCAAGAGTAAAAGATGGACTTGTCGAATTAGGGCCAGTGTTCAATACTTTTAGATGAAAGCTTAAATATGTCACATTCTCAAGAAACATAGAAATCGTAGAGGAAATATTTTTGCATGTACATATTTATATATATTTTTATATTTTTACTATGAACTTTAACAAATTGTTAAAGTCACACAATTCAGCCTTCTGGCAGCGGTATGATTTTGAATAGAACAACCCATTTATAATAAACATATATCAGGACAAATAAATTGTTAACACACCGGTACTTAAAAAATTACAAAACTTGGTAAGTTAAGTTGTTACCTGTATATATATGGCACAAGCATAATACAATCCAGGGACTATTCAGGTAATGGCCTCTCCATCCAAGTGTTTCTTATTTAATAAAGAGTTTTGAAATACGATGCACCTGCAGAATTCTACTATTGATGCTGTTGCTCTCGTTCTACTTTTCAGGTTGTATTCCAAATCTCAATTATTCATACAATACCTCATTTATTCAGCAGCTTGGTAACAGATGAATATTGGATATGCATGCAATATTCATTTGTTACCGGGTGACCGCTGTATAGCAACAATGTAGACCTATTTTTTGGACAAAGTAAATTCAGTTGCTGCCACCTTTCAAAAAAAAAATATATCGTTTATCAAAGTCATTCTTTTTTTGCTTTTTTCATGCATGTACAAGTATGTTTGTGTGCGATGTGAATACTGAAATAGTAATAATAAAAGGCATATAAGAAAATATAAAAATGTAAGGATATCATAAATACATGAGGGAGTACCGGTATGACATTTTTAAACCTCGCATGAACTCATATGTCTATACTGCAATTATTCAAGATGTAAATTTTTAAATTTCAAGTGTCAAGTCAGAGCCCAGTCTTGAATACTTGCTGCATGTAAACTCAACAAAATATCTGGAGCTGAATGCTCATCTGGTCAATTTCCTATTTTAGATGTGTGAATTTTGGAAATACCTTTTAGTGTAGTTTAAAAGAATAGAAGTGTTCCTTTTTTCAGGTGGAGCGATGGATAACTCACATTACATTTAACAATTTTACCCAGCTCCTTTCATTTGGGTTTTAAAGAGATTTTTTTTTTTTAATGAAGAAAGTAGAGTTCATCTTCATCTATGGATCTACTAACCATTCTCAGTCTAGACACATTATGTAACATATTGTTGCTGCCCTAGCATCTATTCAAGAATAGTACTTAAGTTTTGGAAAGACTGCTGCTACAGTACATATTATTTTGTAAGAGTTTATATAGAAAATCTAATGTGTCCATCATGAGTCTTTACATAATTTGTAGCAGGTGGATGATAATGTAATGGAACATATTTCATTGTATTGACCTGAATAGTACAGTAGCTGACAGGTGAAAGTATAGGAGATTAAATGTTGAGAAGTGTAGAAGTGTGTCATGTATAAGAACAAAGTGATACAGAGCAAGAGAGAGAGAGAGCGGGGAGAGAGGGAGGGAGGGAGAGAGAAAGAGAGAGAGAGGGGGAGAGAGAGAGAGAGAGAGAGATGGGGGGGGGGAGAAACTAGAGTTGCACCAAATTCAGCTTGTTAAGAACACGCATAAGAAGTCATATTTATATTTTCGCGGGTTCTAAAATTCTCGGACACCAACTTTAGTGCGAAATCCGTGAAAATTAATGTACCACAAATATTCCCGCGTTTACAGTAGATTATATGAATTTAGAGAAATAGGTTTTGGGGAGAGGGGAAGGAGAGAAAGTAGAAAAGTGGGGTTGGGATTGAATACAAATAAATTAAAGAGGAGAAGGTTGACTGCAGGAGAGAAACCTACACTTCTTGCTATCAGTCAGTATACCACAATAACATATTTATTTAAAAAAACAAACACATTGTTTACTCTTCGATATCACATTTACTTACCTTCTTGCAATTCCTATTTTCTACATCTGTTTTGACAGGCTCTTTCTTGTACATCCAGGGACCAAGCTCTTTGCGCTGATCCATGGTTGTAGCACCTCTCATCCATCACAAACCCTCAAAGAAAAACAGCTTCAAGTCTTCTCTATCCATCTTTTGAAATATGAAATGAGGTGAGCTTTTAATATTCATCACTCAGCCTTCTTGATAATACCAAGGTATACAGATAGCTGAGAAACAGCTTCTCTTTTGATCCTTTCTCTCTTTTGTTTTGTCTTATGTTTTTGTTTATGAGTTGTCTTTTTGCTTTGCTGTGATGCATTGACGCCTCCTTTTTGTCTCTCCTGTGTGGTTTATTGTTTTATGTCAGTAGCTCTTGCACTATTTGCCTTTTATGCCATAACCTACTTACATTTTATTTCTTCTGCTAGTACATTGACTTGTCCTTAGAAATAAATTGACACCCTTTTTTTAATTGTCAGCCAATGACACTTTCAGAATATTCTGATCTCCTCACTTTATAGCCTTTGTACAGAAAAGTATGTAGATCATGGATTGCTCTGAAAAGGTCACAAGATGAGAGAAAGAGAGAGAGAGAGAGAGAGAGAGAGAAGGCGGAAAATGATGTAGTAAAATAGAATAGGAACATGTTTATGTTATTTTTCATGAAACAGAGACTGATATTCTTGGAATTAATACCATTTTGTACTGTAAAACAAAGATTTAAAAATGCAAATGCAAAAATGCAAAAATGCAAAAAGCAACCTTCAAACAAAGATTTAAACCTTCTGATTTGGCTCTGTAATGCTCAATTTTCTAGTGACACAGAAAGGTTATGACAGGATGGGAGGGGGAGAGAGAGAGAGAGAGAGAGAGATCATATTGTAACCATGATCTGTTACCCACAAGCATGGAGAGTGTGATTTTTCACACAGTTGATTACAAATTCACTGTGCACGTGCCATATATAGAATTTATCAATATTCAGAATGTCATCATTTTAGGTTGATATATGGAGCAATTTTTCTGTGAAATATTACATGCCTCATCACTCTTCATTCACTGGCTTTAGTAGATGAAATGCATCGCATTAGCAGTTTATTTATCCATGAATATTGATGTGGAATCCATTCGTATGAAATGTTTTCCTGTAGATGTTGAAAAGTTGTGAATTTGTTTGAATCTCTAAATGCTATCGAAAGATGACATTATAAACAAATTAATTCATACGATTTCCTAAGGAGTTTCCATGTTGAGTAGGGCTCTGGTGTAAACCCTAAAGGTAATGTAAATTCTTGGTAGAATCTGGAGGACTTGGTAGATTTGATTAAAAGTTCAATTCAGGAAATCATATGTATCATTAGAAATCATATACATCATGTATAATGTTGATATTTAGGAATTATCCATCTCATTTAGATATCTAGTTCATGTATTATGACAGATACACATGATGTAATAAATTGCTTCATGTAGTATTATTATATCCGTTTAGATTTAAATTTAAAAAAATATAACAACAATAATAATAATGATAAAATAAAGGTAATTTCCAAAAAAAAAGTACCTTCCTAAAGCATTCAGGGCTAATTTGTAAAAACTGAACATCAAAATGTCCTAACAGCAACTAAATGATGCACCCCTTCAAACACTTCAAAATCAAATAATCACTCTATATCCAAAATTAACTCAATACTGTATATTGCCTTTAAAGATAAACTTGAGTTCTGGTCATGCGATTGCATTGTGAAAGAAAAGGTGTGGAATGGATCAGAAAAGTTGATCATATAGCATGTAAGTAATGGTGTGTAATGCAAGGTTCTGGAGTCATCAAAATCATCATAAATTTGGCAGAGTCTTGGTAAAGTAACAATCACTTACACAGGAAGATGTATATGGGACAACACACATGGTGTCTGGGCTAGTACTACCCTGATTTCCTTATCTTTCTATGCTCATTACTCAGCCAGTATACATTTTCTTCCAAAATTGTTTGGCACATGACATTTATTTGTAATCTTGAACATTCAGTGTAAGTTTCGTTAGATTCTGTGAGAATTCATTTTCTTTTTTTTTTTACCAGAACTCAAGTTTATCTTTAATGTGCTGACAATCATACAATAATGCATGTGACAATTTATTTTATGGATTATGGATAGTATGTCACTATGTATCGAAGCACAAAAAGTGCTCCATATGTTTTACATTTTGAACGGAAAACTTTGGAATCAATGAGATGAACAAATTAGATCAAGTTCAACTTTATCTAGGTTTAAAAATCCAATTTATTGAATAATTCATGGTTAAATGAAATATCTTGAATAACCACTTCACCATTGTGCAATAATTACATCATCATACTACACAGTTTCAAAGAATATATATGAAAGGCACTTTGAATGAATACTGGGGTCTTTTTCAGCAAATAAGTTTTGAAAGCAGAACAAGACAAATGTATTTGGGTTAATATATTCACCATATGTGTATATATCCTAACCGCACATATTGAATTAGCTTGCTCACACAAGTGACACAACTGGGAGAGAAATGTATCGCATGGAATTATGTCAGTCTTAGAACGATTGAATATGTCTGTGATTCATCTGCCCATTGGCAATGTGTGATGGTGTGATGCATCTGTCGACCAGTACACTCACTGATGGTGAATTATTGTAAATGAAGGGATTCTGGGGAAATGTCTGTTTTTGGTATCTATAAATATATATAATTTTTTTTTTTTTGGAGTCATTCCTCATCATTTTATCATTGACTGAGGCATTGGTAATGGTTTAGCAGCAAGAACTGTGGAAATGAATTGTTTTCATTTTCAAAATACTCAATATCTTGCCTGTGGTGTAAATATATGCTGCCCTCTGTCACCCAGTGTATGCCAACAAATGTCCTAAAGTTAGGCACTTCTTGCTTCCTAGTATAAAGTCAACCTTTCCGTTCCTGGATGTGCATTAAGGATTAGGAGCTGTCATGAAATGAAGTCCTTTGGGTTGATGGACATTGTTTTAAATTTTGATGACTTCAACGATTTTTAAAATGTTCAATAGTGATAGATGATGTATTGTGGAGCATACTCCTATATATATAGTATGATGGTCTATGTAGAAAATAAAAATGTTCATTTTGGAAAGACTCAGCATGTGAGTTACGGTATTTCAAACTGTTCTAAAAGAATTTGTTGTGATTACAGAGTCAGCTCTTCTTTTTTTTTAAAGTCATCTTTCTAGTGTGATTGATGGCCATGTATCACTTTGAACGTTCTTGAGCTTTATTTCTAATACTGTAACATGGGATATGTTTTTTTACTTTAAAAATATTGTGTTTTAGAATTTTGATATGTCAGTGATTGTCAGATATAATGCAATAGATGGCATTGACTTTCAAAAATACTTTATAACATGCGTGACTGACAGTGAAATAGGTGACTGACACCTGCACATAGTGCATTTGTATGATTAACATTTTTATGGAGAGCAATGAATGTATGATTGAGTCCTTTACTGTAGTTCAATTAATGTATGATCGACTCCTGCCCATAGTGCAATTAACGTATGATTGATTCTTGTACATAGTGGATAATTATGTTCTTCTTAGTTACAAATACAGATTAACTCCTGAACAATGAGCATTGAGTGTATTGACTCCTTCTCAAACATTTTATACGATTAGCTCCTAAACATAGTGTCAGATGTATATGACTGACTCTTAATTTGTCATGTTCATAAGAATGATCAGCTCCTGTACATGTATGATTGACTCTCAAATCTGTGATTGACTCCTGTACATAGTGCATTTCATATATGATTGACTTGTGTGCAGTGCATAACATCCTAATAATATATGACTGACTCACAAACATAGTACCCTCCATGTATGATTGACTCCCAAATATGTGATTGACTCCTGTACATAGTGCATTCCATATATGATTGACTCCTTTGCAGCGCATATAACATCTACATGACTGACTCCTAAACACAGTACTCTCCATATATGATTGACTCTTAAACATGTGATTGACTCCTGTACATAATGCATTTCATATATGATTGACTCCTGTGTGTTGCATCTATATAGAACATCTTAATAATATATGACTGACTCCCAAACATAGTACTCTCCAGGTATGATTGACTCCAGCACAGTACACCAGATCAAAGTGATGCCCTTTGTGGAATCCCGGGCCTGACAGTCCTGTCATCGCATTCTATTACTGCCCTGCATCCAAACCTAAACCATTTGACCCCATCTGACCTCCGCAACAGGTCTACAAGGCAGGTCAACAAATCTCCTGTGATTTATTCTCAGGCAAAGCAAATATTATCTGTTTGTTTGTCTGACTCTTTCTCCCCACTTTTTCTTCTAGTATGTTTTTTTATTGAAGTCTTTGCCTATCATAATATTGGAGCTTTTGCATGTAATGTATGGTTAAGTATATTCTCCTTTGGCTGTCCAGATATCAACCTGTGTTTGTTTGAATCATATATTTTTCCTGGAAATGAAGGACTATCTTGTAAATTGTTAAACAGAACTTAAAAGCTGACAGGATGTTTCTCTGGATGTTTATGTCTATCTTTGTGTCTCATTTAGTCCTGGTTTAGCTTCCATTTTGTTAAAGCCCAGGTCGCTCATATTCATTATTTTGCAGTACTTTTGTTTATCTGTCTCAGATAAATTTGCATATCATCTGTTTGGAGTCAGAAGAGCGTTAATTCATTATTTAAAGACAGAGTTAACGCCCTTTTGGCTCTTAACCAACTTTTTTTTTTCTTCTTCTGAATTTGTTATTCTCTCTTGTTATCTATCGAAAGCAAGAATTGAAAAATTTCTCTCTGTCTGTCTCTGTCTGTCTCTCTCCCTCTCCTTCACCTACACCTTCCTCCACCCTCCCCTAGGCTCTAGCCTTCTCTCTCACTCTCCCCAATTTTCCCCCTCCCTTCTTCTCCCTCTCTTCCCCTTCTCTCTGTCCTTCTCTTCTCCTTTTCTCTGTCCCTCTCTCTCTCTCTCTCTATCTATCTATCCCTCTTGCCCTCTCTCTGTCTTTCTCTCTCTTTCTCTCTCTCTCTCTCTCTCTCTCTCTCTCTCTCTCCCCCCTCTCTCTCCCTCTTGCCCCTCTTGTCCTCTCTTCTACCTCTGTCTCCATACTCTGAGGTGG